TGCCTTGGTTAGTCAAAGCTTTAGCTTCTATTACTGCTAGCAGCATTTCATATTTTTAAGCTGTACTCCTTAGTTCTCGAAGCGTATGGATATGATCCAGGATAATGAATCCACTTCTGAAGCCAGCTTTCTCTCTTGGCTATGCAGTATTTAATGCGTTTGTTAATTTTTTGTTGATGATCTTTGTGAATATTTTGTATATGATTGGTAGTAGACTTATAGGTCTGTAGTTTGTGACACATCCTCTTTGCTACCTTTCTTATGAATGAAAATTATGTTTTTATCATTATTATTCCAGTGTTCTGGTATGCATCTTGATCTTAGGCAGGTCGTAAATATATCTGCTAAGATTTTCCAGATTTTTTTGGCCAGCATATTTAAGCAGTTCCACTGGTATGCCATATATTCCAACTACTTTACCGCTTTTTATTTTTGTAATTGTATATATACAGTAAGGTCTCTTTTCATGCGGATTATTTTTATGTGATTTTAATGTTGAGTGGTTTGTATTTCATCCAAAACTTTCTATTATTAACTATTATAATTAAATATTAACTATTCCAGATGCCAGTAAAGTGAGCCTTTGCAATTCGGGGATTTCCTTTGCAAGAATTCCTGTAAGTGGTTATTTAATCCAGGAAAAAGCTCTTCAGTTTTATGAGTTAATGAAACAGTCAGAGCCACCAACTTCCACTTCCCAAACTGGTAAAGAATTTTCACCTATCACAGGATGGTTAATCGGGTTTATAAAAAGAAATACATTTCATAATATCAGGATCACAGGAGATAGTGCTACAGCAGATAAAGCAGCAGCAAAAATATTTCCACAGCTAGCGAAAATTATTGAAGATGGGGACTATTGTGCCGATCAAATATTAAACTCTGATGAAACGGGACTGTATTGAAAAAATTCCTAAGCTTACTTATTATTATGCAATAACATTATTGCATAGGCACTTTGTAGCAATACATCAAGAGATGGGATGTTGAAACCGCTCTTAATAAATAAATCTCTTAGACCACATGCTTTAAATGGCAAAGCATTTGATGTTAGAAAATTGATGTTGGGATTTTTGGGATGAGTCGAATTGATAATTAGGAAATTTGTTTCTAATGATCGTTTCACTGTTATGATTCTTAATACGACTTTAGAAGCTTATATCTAGCAACTTGTGTTGAATACATTGATGAGGACAAGTATTTGGATTTACTTCAACAGCGAATAATTCGCTCACTTGCGGCTCTATACCCAAATCAAAAGTCCTCAGCTACCGGACAATTCGCTGTGATACCAGCAAGATAGAGCATATCGCATTACGCACGACATATACATTAATACTTAAATAATATTTTCCCCAACATATGAATTGGCAGATGAGGATTTTTAGAGTGGCCAGTTAGATCTCCTAATATGTCCCCACTAGATTTTTTCTTATAGAGATACCTTAATTCTAAAGTTAACGTTAACAGACCTAATAGTATTGATGACCTTTAAGAGAGAATTATGATCGAAATTAATTTAATTAATGCCTTGCTGATCATTCAATTTAATAGTTTGTAGGTTTATATTTATAGCCTTGTTTATATTTTACTAATTACGTTCGATTCTTGGCTGCCTGCACAAGTTATTTGCCTTCAACAGTGCGTTTAATGATCCTACTGCTTTGCTACCTTTCAACAACCTATTTCTCTGTCTTCGCCTCCTTTATTTGTAATTCTTACTCCAAGCTACTCAAATTCTCTTCTAAATTGTATACTCTTCTCTCATTAGTCCTTGGAGTGATCCATTTATTTCTGCATTTTCCCCTCTTATTTTCATATAGTTGGTTTTTTCTTGATTTATAGTCAGCCATATTTTCCAGCTTCTTCTACAAATTTTGTCCTACATTTTTCGAAGGTCTATTCTTGAATATGTCAAAAATACCAAGTCATCTGCTAAACCTTGTTCAACGAAAAACTAGAGAATACGCATATCGAGAAAGTTAATGAAACCTGGGTGTTCGCATGATATTCGTTGTAGATGTCGTCGCATGATTTCCGTCGTCCTTAACGTCCACTCGGTAAAGCTCCGCTAACAGAATTCGCGATCACAATCGAGCAAGAAGAGCTCTTCCAACAAGACAAGATCTCCGAATATTTGGATATTATTAGATAGTGTTCAATACTTTTGTTTATTTATTTGCCAAAAGCATATTTCAATATGTATAGAAACCAAACGATTTAATTATTTTTGTTATAAATCATACATTTATGCTTCATCATACTTCGTGCAAATTAACATTTTCCATAAATTATTGCTTGTAAAATGAATGTTTCTAATATTTAAATTGAAAAGATACAAAGTATAGGGTGAAAATCTTAATAAAATGTTAGTAGCCACCACAATTTTCTCGCAATGCGAAAAAATAGTCGACCTTAAATTTCTTTAGGAGATGCGCAGGTCTGACAATAAAAAACTACCCAAACAGAAATGCAGACAGAGTGCAACGACAATTGAGAAATCGATAAAAGTGCAGGTCAGGAATGACCATAAAATAAGAAAAGTGGTGGTGGTTAGAAAACCTCTAGCTTGAGCGTAATTCTTTACGATTTGAATAAGGAGGATCCAAGAGTTGTTGTTGAAAAAGTAAGGAATTGAAAATTATGTTTAGTTTAGTCTCAGTAACGAAGGATACTTTTGTACATCAAATTTTGACAATTAGTTTAGAATTGCTATGAAATTATAAGAAAAAACTATGTTAATTTTTAACAAATATCTTTCTTTTTAAATTTATTTACGCTTCAACCACAAGGGTTATTAGCGATCTAAAAAATATAACACAAGTAAAGTATGAAAAAATTACAATAATTGATACAGTCCTGAATGTTTAAGATAACTCATTGTGTTTTTTAATGTTCATGTTTTTTTCTTAAGGCTTCCTTTATATTATTTGTGATAGTGTGCTTCCCTCTTGCTGCTTCATATGTTTTGCACCGAATTAGTATATAAAATATACTCCAAGGAGAGTGTTACTTGACAATTCTTACACATTGGCAGCACAGTCCGAGCAAAGAAGTGTTTATATGTCAAATCACTATGTCTAAGCCGCAAACGCGCTCTTCTCACTTGGTCGTGTCTATTCGCTGTGTGTTGTAGCCACTTTTTCACTAATTGTTCGATTTCCTTGAGTTTTACCTTGCGTTACACTCCACTTATTCCGCCACGCACTCAACACTTTATATTTTATTTCTGACTTGAAGTCACCAGAAGAAACCTCATTAATAAGAATGAAACCCTGGCTAAAGGATGCTAAGCGGGCTAGTTGATCTGCTTCTTCATTTCCTTGTATACCTGAATGTGATGGAACAAACATGAAGTCAAGAGTGATCTTATTATTCTTTAGAGGAATTATTTACCAATGAGTTGGAATCTTCTTCCGACAATGGAGTTTTCACTGCAGAGAGTAAACCTATGTGTTTGCCAAGTTTTCATATTAATTTGGTGCTTTTGGTTGTCATTCTTTTGTCGATGCATGTAGTATGGATGTAATTCCGCTAGAAGTGCATGAGAGTCTTCTGAGTATAATTTTGTTATGCTGATTATGTCTTTGGATCCTTGTATATTTTCAAATAGATCCTCTACTTGATCGAAGCTTAACAATTGCTTTTCCCTTTCTACATATTCTCTAACTGGTTCTAGTAATGTTTGGAGATTTGGTATCTCATCTATTTAAGTTTTTGTCATCAGTTTTGGTTTTTTTCTTTAATTTAAGCTTAGGTTTTTCAAAGTTTTCTTCGGCGGGTGGCGTGATTGCATTTCTAGGGTTCTTTTTCCGGTTGCTTTGTTCGAAAGTATTTGGGGTTCGTGAGAATTCACATGTGTATTTTTATTTGGAGGTAAGTGTTGACTTGTTTCGGGTGAGGTTGATTTATGTTTTTGGGTATTAGAGGATGACTCAGACGATGTAGGTGTTGCGATTGTAGTGTTAACTGAAGAAGTGGTCAAATGTATAAATATTTTGTAGTGAGTATTGTTGAGTTTGGTTTATTGATAAATTTGGGATTGCTACTGTTTGTAATGTGGTTTGAGAAGCGTAGTAAGTGTGGAGGGAGTGGTATTTGAGACTGTGGGGTATTTTGTAGATTATCTTGTTGAGTATGATTTATTGATGAATTTTGTCTCATTTCTGTTTGTATTGCAATATCATTGTGAGGATGGTTAGACGGTGAAATATTTGGACAATTAGCTGCCTGGTGTCCAGTTAGTTTGCATTTGAAACATATTTCGTTTTGGGCTATAAATATGCGGTATGATGTTCGGATAATCGCTGTAAGCAGTTTGTAAATAATAATATTTGATTTTGTTAAAAAGTATTATGTATTAACTTTTTATTTCGGCTTTATATCGCACTGCCCTCTGTTGATGACTGATATAACTAACAACAGTTGGTTTGTAAAAAAATGCATACTTATTTCTACATCAAATTAAAAATTAATTTAACGTAACTGCCACGTCACATAAAAGGCAATTAGAAAAATATTTTAAATATAAAAAAGTTTACAATTTATGATTGGATCAAATATGGCGTCAGACTGTTTCATACATTATTCGCAATGCGCCATCTATGGCGATACGCATTATTAACGGAGCGTATTAGTAGAGGCGCTTCTGATTGGAAAAAATAAACGATTTTTTCTATAAGACGTACAGTTATATTTATCATTAATTTAGAATTAAAATATTTTAAGACGAATTTGATTTGCTCGCTTAAAAGACGAATGATTAATTCAACAACAAAAATTTAATAGATATATACGGTTAACAACAGATATATATATATATATTTATATATATATATATATATATATATATATTCTATTTTTAATTATATATTTAATAGAAAATAATTAAAAGATTCGTATTTCCACTTCCAACATTTTATTCTGCAGCAATTATTATCTTGTAAACAAATAATGCATTTTTTTCGTAAACAAATTTTTCAGTGCTTTCTTTGTTTCAGTATTTCCTACATCATATCCAAACAACCAAGCAGAATTGCAGCTGTTCAGAGTAATGCAGAACGCCTCATTACTACTATATTATGACACTCTTTTGGAAATGGGTGGTGACGACGTTCAACAGCTGTGTGATGCCGGAGAAGAAGAATTTCTCGAAATAATGTCTTTGGTCGGTATGGCTTCTAAACCGCTTCACGTTAGAAGGTTACAGAAAAGCCTCCAAGAGTGGGTAACTAACCACTCAAAGTTTAAACTACCTTTAGTGCCCGGTGAAGACTTTGAATTAGAATTGTCAAGTCCTCGCGTGACTAGTAATCATGTATTTTATTCAGATAGCGGTGATAGTAGTAGAACAATATACTCCCCATCTCCTGGTGATCTTGGTGCCTTACCCCCAGTTTCTAGCCCTGGTTTAACTATTAGCAACAAAAGGTGAGTTTGACTAAATTTAACATTGGCATTAAAAATATAGTAAACTTCAAGGGAAAATTTATGACTTGCGGTAATACATTTAAATCTTTAAATCTTAGCAATATGGACTGTTATTAGTAATGTGCTTTTCGCAGGCCTTATTCTCCGTTAGACCCAGCATGTCCTCCATCTTCAAGTTCAAGTCCAGGAGCAAACATGTCAGTACAACTATCACCAAGTCTTATGGAAAATCAAATAGCAAAACTTGCATCAGCAGCAGAACGCTTAAGTAAACAGCTACCACAATACGAACCAAAGCCTCACAACACCAAAAAGAAGGTGTGTAAAGAATTAGAGTTAGTTATATCAATGCCAGAGAATGATCCAAGGAGAATGGACGAAATTAGGAGGTATGCTGCAATATATGGAAGGTTTGATTGTAAAAGGAAACCTGAGAAACCTCTAACATTACATGAAGTTTCTGTAAACGAAGCTGCCGCACAGATATGTAGGTTTATTCCAGCACTTTTAACACGAAGAGATGAACTTTTTCCACTTGCTAGACAAGTTGTCAAGGATTCGGGTTGCTATTACTCAAAAACACAGTAAGTAACTTTTTCAGTCAGTAAACACAGTAAGATAGTTATGATATATTTTTAAATTATATTTGTCCCAACATGTACTTACGTAAAAAGAAAGAAAAAAACCATTATAGGTCAAGATACAATTCTTCAAAAATAAGAATCAACTTTCCGAATGTATATTTTAAGTTTTATAGTACGCAGTGGAGATTTGTTGTACTAATATAATGCAATGATAGAGTTGGAATACCTAATAACATGATTAATTTTACAAAAATTTGTTTATAATAAATTAAAATGAAGTAAAATGGAAAGAAAACACATAATCAATATTTACAGTCGAACGAGGCCTCAGTCAAGAAGACATGCTATCAACGGTGCTCTTTGATCTCGTATTAGAAGTAATAATTATAAAAATGCGAGTTGAAACAGAAAGTTAAAAAAACAATATTTAGACAAAACACCAAGAATTTGCTAACTTAATAGTAATATCAGAATGAAAAATGAATAAAACTTGTTATAAGATTAGTAATAAATCTAACAGGAAAGTATTGACGACTGATTATATGGTAATGGTAGGCATACGTCAAGAAAATGAGGCAGACCTAAAGACAAAATTAGGCCAGGAAGGAGTATACATTTGAAAGAATATAAGAATTTAGAACGTGGTGGCAAAATCATAGAAGATGGTAAAGATGGTAAAAAAATAAAAGCTGGAATTACCAAAGAAAATCGGAAATATGGAATGAGCAGAAGATTAATAAAATCAAAGAATATCTCGAGAAAAATAAAACAATGAATCTACAGGACCAAAATCAGAGCAGCGGTCATATACAGGGTGTTTCTTTGGGAAAGTAACATATATTAATTGTAAAAATGACATGTAGGTGGTGCCTAAAATCCCATACTTAATGGGATCTTACTTCATCAAAACAAAGATTCTGGGTGTTTTATTTATTTAACCAACTTTTTATTTGGTTAATACATTTATTACACACTATTATTTTCTTTATATTTGGCACGCGAAATATTCTTTAAGGTGTACAATCGATTAATTTATTTATACACACCCTGTACATTAGATTTAAAAAAATGGATTCTGCACTTAAAAAGCGGATGAAAAACTAAATTTAGTGGTATACTTTGAATTTTCCATGAACATTGAACATTTTGTATATTTGACAGAAGTAGATTATTTAAAACAAATGACGTATTTATTCAACAACGAGATTCTGTCAATGCCACGCAACGCTTAGTAATAAATTTGAAAATTTTAAGGCATATTCATTTTATTTTTCGTATTGTAGCTTATTCTTCTTGTTCTTCTTTTTATGCAGGACATGCTCTGTTTCTCATGTACCTTCAGTAAGTTGTCGTTCTATCGTTTTCGTGGTCTTCCTACTAATCGTTTTCCTATTGGGAAACCGTCTCTTGTCGTCTTTACTACTCTATTTGTTGTCATTCAGCTTAAAATGACCGTTCCATTATACATTTCTATTTCTTAGCCAGTTCTTGAGTTTCACCTTGCAATTACGTCGTATATCTGTACTTCCAGCTCTGTACCATAGTGTTTTACCATCAATTTTTTTAGGTTTTCATCTCGGCTGTTTCTAATATCCTTTTTGATCTCTCTGTCTTAAGTCGTGTCTCTGCCGCGTATGTCATTATTGTATGATGACTGTTTTGTAAATTCTGCCTTTCATTTCTTTCCCGATATTTTTATTACTACTATTGCTTCATTCAGACAACCTGTGGCTCTGTTTGCTCTATTTACTTGATTATCCACTTCTGTTTCGAGCTTCTGTAGCTTAGATAATGTGACTCGTAATTAGATTCCACCTCCAAGTTACATCTTAATAAATTTGCTGTTATAACCATGCATTTAGTTTTTTTTGGGACATTTTCTGGTGTGATATTCCAATTGGTGCAGCATACATTGTAAATAACTGTGAGAGTGATTGCATCGTCTGTATAGCAAATTATTTTAAGTTGTTTTTTCCCATTTGGTATCCTTTTTTGGTTCTTACTTTTTTTATTATTTCATCCATAATCAGGTGAACAATAAAGGATCAGAGAATCTCCCTGTCTTAATCCATTGCAAGCTTCAGTGGGGTCTGTTTAGTTCTTCTTCTACTTTTACTTTTATTGTGTTGTTTTGGTAGATATTTTAGATCATTTTGATTATTCGTAGATGTACCTCTCTTGCGTACAATAAGTGGATAACGTCCTTTAATTTAAACCGGTCATTCCTTCTTCAATGCCTTCTTAAGGTCCAGGAAACATATACTTCATCTAATTTACACAACGATGCACGTCATTATCTACGTCAGAGATCGAAATTGACATAGTTGCCAAAGTTATAAAAAATCCTGACTCCATTTTAAATTCAAATAGTTTCACCATAATTATTGCAAAAGTATTACCATCTCTTTACTTCACGACTTTTAATTCTTACGTGACATTTTTGAAATAAAACACACTAATTTTGTTCTAAACAGAACAGATTTTATTAAATAGGTAAAAATATTAAAACAAGGGGTATTCACTTTAAAGTTCAAAATAATTAAAGTATAAAAAGTGTCACACCGCAACTGTCAAATAAGTGTTACAATTTATGCCAAAATTTTACCTTCGTTCGATTACAGTTACAGTGTGTTCCGAACAAATGTTTTTCATAAAAACGCTTTATTAATGCATTATAAACAAATTAAATAAAACATATTATTGTGAATTTCTTTAAGTTAACATTAATAGAATTTTTAAATATTATTTCTACGCGTATACTGTACTCGTGTACTCGGCAAAGTGATTCTAAAAAGAACACACCTATCGCCTAAATCTTTCGTGTTGGTATCATGTGACGTCACGGGCTATGACGACGATGACGTGCATCGTATGTAAATTAGATGAAGTGTAGAATATGCTGTTTTGCTGGATTCTAATGATGGTCTTCCCGACCTAATATCTTGTTGTTCTTTGCTTGTGTTATAATCTCATTCAGTTTATTTGTTGTCACTTTGGTTGTTATTTTAGTGTTGTGTTATAGTTCTTTTTTTTATTAATTAATTAATTATTATTTAATTTAATTAATTAATTTATTAATTCATTCTTCTGTAATTTTCCTGGACCGATTTGCCTCCCTTTTTGAAGAGAGGTATTAGGATGCTTGATCTCCATTCTTGAGGAATTCTGTTTTGTTCTATTACTCTTCTTTTGCTGCGTTAATGATGTTATTTTTGAATTTTTTTCCAGCTTTCCTCGATGTTATCGTTTTCTAATATTTCATTCCCAGCAATCTTCTCTGATATTGCTTTTCTGTTTAAGTATTCCGTGCATTCCTCTGAGTCTTTCGGCTCTGATTTTTGTTTGTGTTGGCGCTGTTCTCTTGGGTGTGAAGTATTTCATGATGATTCTTATTTTACATAACACTAGGCTATGGTCGCTATCAACTGAGTTGAGACATCAAATTATTAAAAAACATATCTAAGTTTGTGGTGATGTTCAGTTTGAATTATTACGTTAGTTTTGAATAGATATTTTTCTGCAAATTTTCGCTATTTACTCTCTTTTATACTCTTTATTATTTGTTTATTAATTAGAGATGAATATTTGGTACCAAATATAAATTATTTGATACCATTATTTAGTTTAAATATTAAATTAAGTAGCAGTTTAATTTTTTTACTTCCAATTAACATAAATTCAGAATACAAATTCAACATTTTACCAGAAAAAATATTTTTCCAAAACTTTAAAAAGCACTAATTTAATTTTTTATTCTATTTTTAAATGCAGAATCCATTTAAAAAAAAATCTTATATGCGGGGTGCTGTTTTTGGGTCGGAATATTTTCCAATATTTTTTAATCCGGACCTAGATTTCTTATACGTTTAATTAAAATATTCGATTGGACACCTTAAAGAATATTCCCGTGCCAAATGTAAAGAAAATATACAGTGTAGTTAAAAAGTTCTGAACTAAATAAGAATTTTTGGTTATTGATGAAGTACTACCCATGAAGTATGGGGTTTTTGTGATCGTCGTAGTGTCTCCTTTTTTCAGTTAACATATGTTATTTTCCCAAAGAAACATTATGTATGCAAGCGAAATGTAAAGAGCCTATATACAGAGTGTCAAAAATAGGTAAATAAAATAGAAACACAGAGAATAAAGAAGGTGGTTAGAACAGGTCAAAAATGAAAAGCAATATGAGATAATTGGGGTTAAATAGAACCCATTAGAATTATATAGAAAATAGGCAGCGGAAAGGCAGCCACACCAAAAAGGGAAAATCTATAATTTTAAGTTTTTGTATATTTAATAGTTACACTCTCAATGAGATACAAAGTTTATTCAATAAAAATGAAACTAGGAAATACTCAGAAACGTTCAAATTAATTAGCGAAGAAAATATCGAAATATTTGTCCTTTTACTCAATCGCATTTATGATACAGGTAAAAATACCCCAAGATTGGCTGGAGTCAATATTCATCCCACTACCAAAAAAGCCAAACCCACAACACTGCAATGAGTTCCGTCTAATAAGCCTTGTGAGTCATGCAGTAAAAGTTCTACTAAAAATCGTACATAATCGTATCTATAGAAAGTGCGAAACAATCATCGGAGACGATCAGTTTGGATTCAGAGCCGGCATGGGAACGAGAGAAGCCCTGTTCAGTTTACTAGTTCTCGCCCAAAAATGCTACGACCAACAGAAAGATATATTTATATGCTTTATAGACTTCGAAAAAGCATTTGATTCAACTGCATGAGCAAGAAGTCGGTTTAGATGGAAAAAGACATCAAATTCTTAAAAAACTTGTACTGGAACCAAAACGCCAGAGTTAGGATCGAAGATTCCACATCCGCAGAAGTAGAAATTAGGAGGGGAGTTAGACAAGGATGTGTTCTATCGCCTCTGCTGTTTAATCTTTACTCCGAGTTTATATTTAAAGAAGCATTGGAGGATTCCAAGGATGGAGTCAATGTGAATGGCATAAATATCAACAGTATCAGATACGCCGATGATACAGTGTTAATTGCGGATTCCGACTCAGGTTTACAACGACTCATTGACAAGACCAACTCGACCTGTGAGCAATTTGGTATGAAAATAAACATTAAAAAAACCAAAGTGATGTCAATCCGAAAAAACCAAAACGTACCTCAACCTTGCACAATAAATGGGCACATCTTAGAACAGGTCAATAGATTTAAGTACCTGGGATGTTGGATCGATAGCAGCCTAAATCCTGATCAAGAAATAAGATCGAGAATAGAACAGGCCAGAAAATCTTTCGAAAAAATAAAAAAAACTGCTTTGTGATTCTCGAATAAAACTCGAAAATTCGACTACGTTTATCAAAATGATACGTCTGGTCGACTCTTCTATATGCAGTTGAAATGTGGACCCTTAAAACATCAACCGTAAATAAATTGGAGGCCTTTGAAATGTGGATCTACCGGAGAATACTCAAAATTTCATGGACATCGCATACCTCAAACGAAGAAGTGTTGCATAGAATAGGCAAGGAAAGAGAACTTTTTAACACAGTAAAAGTTAGAAAAACATCATACGTAGGCCACATACTGAGAAATAATAAGTACCAAATATGTCCAACTTATAGTGAAAGGAAAAATCGAGGGAAAGAGAGGCCTAGGAAGGAAAAGACTATCGTGGTCAGAAAACACCGACAATGGACAGGGCTAAATTTTGAACAACTAATAAGAACAGCTGAAGATAGAGAAGAGTTTAATATTGTAGTAGCCAACCTTAATTGAGGAGAGGGCACTTTAAGAAGAAGAAGGAAATACTACAAATCCTTAAATAATGGACGTCGAGCATTTACACCATGATTAAAAATTTGTAAAGACAATAACGGTTAAATTCTACATGATAAAAACTTAGTTCTTAACAGATGGGCACAACATTTCGGCGAACATCTAAATATAAATGATATTGAACTAGGTTACAACATAGGTAATCAACAAAATCTACAACGTCAACTACACAGTGAAGACTCAACGAGAGAAGTAGTGTCAAATGCCATCCTAAAACTCAAAGACAATAAAGCCCCAGGAATCAATGAAATCTGTTTGAAAATGTATAAAAAGTTGGTGATCCACTTTTTGCAGCTATCCATAAACTAATAGTACTTTTATGGCAGAATGAATTGGTACCAGAAGAGTGGCTAAAGGAAATAATATGTCTGTTGTATAAAAAGGGTGATCAACTGGAGTGTAAAAACTATAGAGGCATTACTCTGTTAACATCTGCGTATAAAATCTTCGGCAATGTATTGTTTAAAAGACTTAACCATTTTACAAAGGATATTGTTGGTCAATACTAATGCGGATTTACTGCTAGAAAGTCAACTACACGTCAAATTCAAGCATATAGGCAGATTCTAGAAAAGTCACTAGAATATAACATAGATACACACCTTCTCTTCGTCGACTTCAAAGTAGCGTATGACAGTGTGAAAAGAACTGCATTATATAATGCAATGATATACTTTGGGATCCCGCCTAAGTTAGTCAAGTTGACCGAACTAACAATGCAAAACGTAAGCTCATGCGTTATAATTCTACGAATTCTACGTAGAAAACTCTACTTTCTTTAACATTAATAATGGTCTGAGACAGGAGGACGCGCTGGCTTGTCTCCTCTTTAATATTGCATTCGAAAAGGCAATACGACAATTTAATATTAGAATGAATGGAACTACTTTTAATAGATTGACAGAAATTTTCGCAGTAGCTGACGATATATTTATAGTGGGCAGAAGTATGAGAGACTTGGTGCAGTGTTTTACAAGGCTTGCGGACTCGGCAAGTGAATTAGGACTTGTGGTAAACGAGGAAAAAACCAATTATATGTTGGTTTCTTAAAACCCCCGAAATATCCAACAGAGAATTCAAATTAGCAACTACACCTTTGAGCAAGTCAAATAATTCACATATCTTCACAAATAAAAAGACGCATAGCAATAGCAAACAGAACTGTTCACGGTCTCCAGAAACATTTAAAAAATAAAAATATAAAACGTGCAGTAAAACTCAATATATACCAGACCTTAATAAGACCGGTTTTGATATATAGGGCTGAAACGTGGACCTTATCTCAAAATGATGAAAGACTTCTTGGTATTTTTGAGAAAAAAATTGTTGGAAAGATTTTTGGGGCCGTAAATGAAAATGGGCTATGGCGCCGAAGATACAAGTTTGAACTATATCAGTTATATACCGATATAGATATTGTGAAATTCGTTAAACTGCAGAAACTTAGATGGACTGAACACATTGCTAGGATGTCAGATCGCGAATACACAAAGAGATTAATATTTTCAAAACAAGATTGCACAAGAAGTAGAGGACGATTGATGATGTGGAAGAAGACCCACAGATTCTAAGGGTCAGAAGATGGAGGGAAGTTGCCAGAAATCGACAGGAGTGTCAACTTCTTTGTGAGCAGGCCAAGATCCACAACGGATTGTCGAGCCACTTGTGATGATATTTAATAGTTGTAAATGGTATGTTATTAGCTACAACTACTATCCTAGCCTTAGACCTTTATGACCTTAAATAGATTAGTTCAGCACTAATCCATCAATGACCAAATCAGAAAACAAAGTTTCGCAAACTAAAAGATCAGGATCAGAATTTGAAACTTTAAAAACAATATGGACTTTAACTTATTCTAATAGGTAGGTACTAAAAATGATCCAGCAGATATCTCTCCAACTTTACTCTATTATATAGGTACCCTATATTATATTTTTTAATACCAAAAGTAATATAAAATCTTTTTTCGTGGTTTGATTACAGATTATCTACAGTTTATATGAATAAACCAGGAAATATGGGCCATGATCGGGAGGTGGATATATCTGCTAGAGCGAGCCCAAGAATAGGAGGATTTGAAAATGATAGACCTATAAGCAAGAGGCCAAAAATGGAAGCCACTTCCGACTCAGACGACCGGCAGGTCAGCCAACTAAAACGACTAAAAAATTCAACGCACTCACATGTTGTTATCAATTTAGAAAACTAACGCTTCGCCAAGTAGCATGTAAACTGCCGAATAATTTTAGCAAAGATAGAACTATTTATATGTAGCTATTTCGACTTATTAGCTCACTTGCTAATTTGTTTAGACGCTGTTTCAGTCGGTTTCAATAACACACATTAAAGTTTTGATTACTTCTTTTATATTTGGTATGTTGAGATTATATTGTTGGTTGCATATCATTCTGCGCTCACTAGCAGTACCTTGTTTTCATATTTTTGTGTGATGTCTATGGAAGTACATACATCCATTTTAAATTAGATGCTATTTAATTCAATTAATTTTTATCGAAATATTTCTCTCCAGTTACAGTCCAGATTTATCTTAAGATATATGTCACACAGGAGTTTCGATTCTTGTCCATTACGTGTGACCTATGTCAGTTATCTCGTTTCATAGTTAACGTCATTTATACCGATTTACTGGTATTTATTACCATTTACCACTTCTGTAACTATAAATAGTCTTCGTTTTGATCCAGAGTGATTTTCAGAGTATGGTCAAAACTCGACTTTATTCTATCCTTGCTAGTAGCGACATATTCAATCGTATTATTAAACAACGCGTTACAGCTTTTAAAATAAATTTTGAACTTACATTGTTCATTGCTTTCTTATACTAGTAAGCCTACGAAATTTTATATTTAGCTAAATATATCATGCATTCTTATATCTTTAAAATTAGCAACCAGTAAACGATAATGCAAATATAAATAAATATTTTTGAACAATTATGCTACAGTCAATATTGGTGATGCCATGAGAAAATATTTACATATAAATAGTTATTGCTTATTGCTTCTAAATGTTCAAAGAATATTTTAACTATGATAAGAAGCGCTTATATTGCCACATTTTTAAAATTATCCAATAGTGCATGTTGTATATAATTTACGCTTATAGCACTGCTTTATAGTTGCTAAGTGCACATTAAATATATCTACTAAACAACAGCTGTGTTAAGCATCTCTTAATTGCATGTATATTTTTCATACTATATCGTTTTACATACGAATAACTTCAAATTTCAGTTCTCATATCTTTTTTAGTTTGAAATTACAAAGTATAATATAAATAAATATTAAACAAAATTTCAAACATTTGTTATATACTGATAAAAAAATCATTTCCGTTTTTCTATTTGGTTCACAATATTTTGATGGCTCCATGTACATATTAATGGGTAATATGCAGTCCTTTATAGTGAGCCAGCCGCAACAACATACGCATGATAAGTTTTAGCAAATTAAAATTTGGTCAGCACAATTTATCCGAATTCTCAATTATTTATTTCCTATCAGTGGTGATTCATGAAGGCATCTTAAGAGTATTGTCTAAAGCGAAGTTTGAATTTATTTGAGACATTTATATTGAAAAATATAAATAGACAATGTTTTTTTATACTATTTGTTTAGATAATTAATTGCCTAATTGCCAAATAACAAATATAACTATTGTTAATAAAAACGTTTTGTTTATAACTATTTATATTCTGGTATTTTTAAGCGTAAACACACGACCAACAGGGATCTATGGAGTGAGTAACACCGAGCCGCAAACCCCTATCTCTTGTCTTACTACTTATCCATAGGTATATCCGATACACCAGCGTATTTTAGTATAAATAGCAGACTATTTAGACGTTATACTTATACGTTAAATTTTTTGTTTTCCGTATAGGGTTTGATCCATCGATACACTATATCATTAACAGTGAAGTCGAGCTCGTTTGGATATCTGACCCACGATTTTATTTTAGTCGTAAATAAGCCTTTTACGTATTTTAGAAATATTAATAAATAGTTGAATATATAATCCAATGATAAAATATTACTTTGTATTCTATGATTTAAAATGATCGTTAATTTGTTGGCAGCATTGATTCATTACAAAAGTTATTCGTTCTATTAGGAGTAGACCTCCTGCTTTAAGTAACTCTACAGCTATATTGCCAGGTCCTGGAGATCGCCCGTTTTTAGTAGTTGATCTCGTTGTTAGTAGTATTAATGTTACTATTTGTTTGTCTCTCCATACTGTATTCCTCTCCCATATATTCCAATCTGAACTGTTTCAGTAAATTTTTATAGTGATTTTTTCCCACCATCTGAATGGAAAACCGCTCACCGAGTGTCCATCTTTAAAAAGGGTAATCGAAAAGATCCTAACTGCTATAGAGGATTAAGTGTCCTACCTACTTTCGGGAGATTGTTTGGAAAGATAATAAATGGAAAAATACAGGATGATGTATTTTTCCATTGATGAAGTACATCTAGTCTTCATCGAGCTAGAAAAGGCGTATTATACAGTTTCAAGACTTAAATTGTGGCAAGCTTTACAACAACTCGGTATTAGTCCATATCTTTTAGGAATGGACACAGAAGTATACAGGGATAATATTACTTATCTAAAAATCGGAAATAGATTATCAGAGTCAATAAAAGTAACTAAACGACTAAGACAAGGATGCAGTATGTCACCCGTACCGTTTAATTTAAATATTGTGGCAGTCCTCCAAAATTGGAAAACCACTGCTAGGGAATGGAAATCCCATAGAAAGTGACGAACTGTTCTCCCTAAACTTTGCGGATGACCAAGTCGTCCTAGCTCAAGATTCTCATGATCTAAAATTTATGATAAAGCGAGCGTCTATACAGAGAATATGTAAAATGGGGGTTTAAAGTCTGCATGAAGAAAGCAGAATATTTAGTTATCAATTCAGACTTAAGGTTTGAAGTGTTGATAGACGAGGACGTGTAAATCAAAAAAGTGAAAAAATTTAAATATTTAGGTGCACTCATTAATAAGAACGGTTTGGAAAAACTGAAATTAAACACCGAAAAAATCGGGGACGTAAACTTGTAGTATGTCTGAAACTCCTTACAGTGGGATTTTAACATTTCCAAACGAAACAAAAAAAGAATAAGGCAAACCATGGTTGAATCAGTTCTTTGTTAGGGTTCTGAAGTATGGAAAATTAATGCAGACCTGAAGAGAAGATTGTTGGCAGTTGAAATGGATTATTTAAGAAGAAGTGCTAGAACATCAAGGCTGGAAAGGAAGATCAACGAATCTATAAGAAATAATATGAATGCTACAGAAACGGTGATTGGCAGAATAGAAAGAAGAGGTTTAAAATGGTTTGGACACCTATTGAGAATGCCTGATGAACGTTTGGCCCCAAAAACTTCACAGATGAAAGCTCCTTGAAAGAAGAAAAACTGTAGACCTCGGCGCTCATGGAATAAAGGAATTAGATAATGATCGTTATCGCATCTAGCATCTTTAACACAAATATAGTAAATTATTCATTCTTAACCGTTTTGGATAAAAAAACATATTACAACGATAAAAATATTTATATTTACAGCCTTTAACTTTTT